GCCACAAATTCCAACTCCAAATATCCGACGCCTTAATCCGGTAAACGGTCAGCCATACTATATCTAATTTCAGGGCCATTCCTCAATGCTCTACTTCTGGTCTTCCCTCTCTAGACGCTATATCATGCAATCTTTGTTCTAGCGAGTACACAGTTCTGATCAGAATATTCACAGTCGTGCCAGCGTTCTCAGCTACTCAATATTTGTTAGCATGTGATATGTGAAGAAAATACCCCCAAGGAGTGACAATAGATGCCTACCAGTCTTTGCCACAAACGCCCTTTCGTTTGCAGAAAGGTCGCCGTCCCTCTGCCACCGTTTATAGAAAGCGCCGGGCCTGTTGATCGTAGCAACGTACTGCTCGTCATTTGCAGATATAGGCTTTTGGACCTTTAACCTGCTTTGGACACGGCGCAGACGCTCAGACACGGGCGTTGCTATATTTGGTCCATTCCGCGTAGGTTTGGCGAATCCTCAATTGGAAATAGGTCGAGAATTTGCTGGGACACTACAAAATCAGCGAAGCTCTCTCCCGGATCCATATGGGGTCGGTGAGCTGCGTCTGGAAATCTTACCTTTACTATCCCGTTCACCTGACCAGGTTTGATGGTACCAGTTCAAATAGCGGTCCAACATATCGCCACTCATGTTGAACACATCGGCCTCTGTGACTTTAGCTTCCTGGCCTGGAGTGGCATCACCGCCGTCCATCGCCATGCCACTCCAGTCATCCAGTCAACCCTCAGTGCGCTCGGGTCTTTGAGACTCTCTGGAGTTCGTATCATATTGTCGAATGGTTGCAGGAGTTTGGTTGATATCACGACCAAAGCCGCAACTTGCAATTCAGGGTATTCGCTCAGTTTGTGCCGTGATAATGTGTTTGGGTATTGAAACCTTACTCCCAGAGCTTCAGCTAGGTGGCAACAAGACCCGTAAATTTCCACTTCCTTTTGGTAAGCAAGGTGTGTTAGTCATGCTGGATGACTGGAGCAACTTACAAGGCAGACAAAGGTCCTTCACAAACCGGAATATTTATCAGAGATGTGTTTAATGGCGGGAATAAGATGTTGAAATTGGTTGTGAAGTTAATCATTAGCTCCCCGATACATTGGTGCAAGCGGCCTCTCCTCAGAGATGATCTAGTCTCCAGAGCAGAGTAGTATTTGGGTGGTAGATGAGACTTCATATCAGCCGGGATATCTCGAATCTGGAATCAATTAGCACTTTTGTGCACGTGCAACGGCCGTCCAAAGAATATTAGATAACGCACCACTCGAAAGTAAGGGATTTCATGCTGTTCAGCCCATTTCTGGAGATCTCCCACTGAGACTGGTAGTCTCAAAAGTAATATTGCCATATAACATAGAGCCAAGCTCTCAATAAGCTTCGGCAAACCCCTTTCTCTTGCAATTTTCCGATGCCTCCTGCCCATTTCCATCCCAACACTATCATCTTCCCCTTCTGTCTCCCCTCGCTTGTTGAACTAAACCCAGACCCGTCTCTTGCATTCCTTTCGTCTTCTCCTATGCCCCTAATATTCCTTATCCTCACTGCCCATAAATCTCGAATAACGGTCTCAAGTTCAGGTGGCATTCCTCTCGCGGTTATGAGCCACATAGCCTGCCTCCTCAACACCACTTGCCAACATTGTGCATAAAGCTTAATGGCTTCGATTCCATCATAAACTATGCCAGTTGCTGCTGCCTCCTTTCGCCTTTTTCTTGTTTTTCTGCCCTCTGTGTTGAAGTCATCTTCATCTGCTGCAACCTGTGTAAAACCTTCCTGGACGTGCCCATGTGACTTGCAAACGCGTTTACCATCCTGGATATAGTAATACCGTGACCGACACCCAGTTGTAGTGCAAGTTTCGCCCTTTGAGAACTTGTGGAAGTCGATGCTCGAATCCATGATTGATGCCCCACTACGTAGGAAACATTTCAATACTATCGTGACTTTTAGCTCCAGTTCCCACGTGCCGAAATCACATGAACGGTCGCAACTTCCTTCCACGAATGAACTTTTTGTAACTAGGCAAAGATCTGGCAAATTATTGCATTATATACGAGCAGTGTGTTTGGCTACTTAAGGCTCGTAATATCTACATTGCTGCCACACAATTCCTACTCTTTTGACTCCAATTCAACGACACATACTCAAATAATTATGGCAGTTGGTCAGTCAATTTTAGTAGAGGGACTGTTATTTTATTTTTGGCTATCTACAACGATAACTATCATCGCGTTCGTTACAGTCACTGTTGCAAGCTTGGTAGTCGTAGTCGCGACGTGTTGCGACTCGCTAGCGACAGACTTCACTGACTGTAGAACCCGATAAATGTACCAGTAGAATAGGAAGGCAAAGCGATGCGAACAACCACCAAGTTGCCTTTACAACATGACGATCACAAAAATCTAGCCAGGCAGGTGCCTGACAGGCTAGTTATGCCAAGCCGATGAGGGGTAACGAGCCATGGTATGGAAGAAGGCTATTCCGTACAGGCCCAGAGATACATGTCTTGACTTAAACCTCCTTCGCATCGATACAAGCATTCTCGCCCATGGCGGAAATGATAATAACGACTAGATACTATGTTAGCGATGCGTTCTCTTGTCGTCCTGGTTTAAAACTTACCACCTGACTTCTCATCATCCTTGCTGCTCGATGATCTTTTGATGACTTCTTGTCTCTTATCATCGCCAGCAATGGGCTCTGGCATCTTGATATCATCTCTGGTGTTTCCGGTAGCCTCATCGTACAGGTTAAGGAAACCATCATCGAGAGTGAGCTATATAGTATTAGCGTTTGGACCTGCATTTTGCGGTTGGTTGTGTCTTACGAAGGCGTATTCCTTGCGCGTAACGTTGGGGACATCCATGTTGTGGGTGGATGGGGAAAGATCCTCCAACTTCTTCTTGGTGAAGATGTCTTCAGCGATGAGATGAACCTTGGCGTGTCCATGCTTTCCGGTCTTGGAGGTCGACATGTCGATGATCTTGCAAGGACGGTTCTTGATGAGAACATGTCCACCCTTCCTCAAGGCAGAACACTGCATGGGGTAGGTCAAAGACGCACCCGCATCGGCAGAGTCGATGGTGTAATCTTGCTGTAAAAAAGTTAGTATTGATGATGGGCGCAAGTTCCACCGATTGTCATATAGATTGAAAGCACTAGACTGATGGCGGGGGAAGTGCGGGGGTTTCTTGGAAAACTGCTTACAGAGTCGGCGTCCGCCATTTTGGCTGCAATGCAAAGTGAAAATGGGAGTTGTTAGATTGTCGCGAGTCTGGAATATGCTCCAGGAGAGAATTTGAGACGAATAGAGGGGCGAGGCGTAGTGGGAGTAGAAATAGAAAACCGACTTGGTGGTGAGTTGTGGGATCTAACGAGTTTAGACCCGCACTAGTTCGCCAATTTCTTTAGGTAAGCTGATGAACAATAAGATGGAACCGTTTCGGCTGGGTGTGACCATGCGGCCATTGGAACACGCCATGAGGAACGCCGACAGGAGTTATCGGCGAGACACGTACGTGTAGACTACATTTTGGCTCTTCAACATTTAGTCATTCAGTGATTGAAAGAACGAAGAGGTCTTTGTTGATGCCTCCGAAGAGTCACTGAGATGTGGCTCGACAGGCTGTCTGGGACTTCCACTCCAGCACTTCGTCCCAACGCGTCCTCTACTCCCCAATCGCGATCGTACTCTCCCGTCCCAAGAAAAACGAGCCGCCTTCTGCCCCAAACTGGGCCTCAACGTCCAAATTTTTCTCCACGGTCTTCGTCTTTGTCTGCCGTTTCCAATGATTCTACAACGTCATTGCTAGGGAATTCTCGGAAACCCACGGACAGCTCCAGTTCGAATTTGAGAAACATAACTCTCACTTACTCAGATCCAATACAGGTCCTTGACAAGCTTCTGAACATTGACCTGGGAAACTTGCCGGTCGCTGATAAGGATGAAATATGGGACAATGATGAATTACTGGGCAATGTTGACTTCACTGGGTTGGCACTGCATGAATTCGTTCAAGAAGACGACGTGAACACGGTCCAAGTGTCAGAGGCACCGGCGGCTGCAAGATGTTAGTGTTTTGCAATTGACATATGGATTTCCATGCTGACCAAGTAAACACAGATGAGATCGATAAAGCTAGATTCGAAGACCTCCATCAATCTATCCGCGCTTGCAACGACATTCTTAATTCGGTTGAACTAAACTTGACAAGCTTTCAAAATGATCTGGGTGACGTTTCTGCGGAGATTGAAACATTGCGAGCAAGATCAACGACACTAAGCTCCAGGATTGAAAACCGGAAGGTTGTAGAACTTGGATTAACACCAGTTGTTGAAGATATCACTGTTTCGCAAACCATTGTGAAAACGATATCAGAAGGCGACATTGATGAGTCGTGGATTGTTGCCCTGAATGTGGTTGGAAAGTGGTCAAAGGCATTAAACGCCAAGGCAATTGAGGCACACAATATAAAGAGCATTACTGATTTAAAGCCCTTGCGTGACCAGCTTGTTAATATTGTGAGTAAATCAAATCGTCATTTTATGTGAGCTCTATGTTGATCCCGGGACATAGGCCATCGAAAGGATCCGGGACTTCCTAGTCGCCCAGATTAAGGCTCTACGATCACCGAATATAAACGCTCAGGTCGTTCAGCAACGTCACTTCATTCGATACAAAGATCTGTTTTCATTTCTATGGAATCATCATCAGACCTTAGCCGAAGAGATTGGACAGGCTTACATGAACACCATGAGATGGTACTATTTAAATCATTTTACTCGATATGAGAGGGCGCTCTCAAAAGTTAAAATACATGCAATAGACAAGCATGATGTTCTTGGGAATGATGACAGTCCACGCAAGAGCACGCTGCTTACCACGTCAAAGGCAACTGGGCCGCCGCATGATGCCTTCAGCCTGGGACGACGCAACGACATCCTCACGACATCAAACCAATCGGCTTTACCTAGCCATTTAGCAGAAGACACGGCGACTCATTACCTCGAGTTCCCATTTCGCAACTTCAACCTGGCTCTCATTGACAACGTTTGCGCCGAGTACTCGTTTCTCACCACTTTTTTCTCGCCCTCTCTTTCATTCCATACCATAGCGCGCTACTTCAACTATATCTTCTCGCCCACATTTGAACTTGGTCACACTTTGACGAAGAGCCTTGTTTCTGAGACTTTTGACTCGTTCGGCCTGTTACTGTGTGTGAGACTGAATCAAAAATTCAACTTCAAATTACAGAGGCATAAGATACCTGTTGGAGACAGCTACATCAATGGAACGAATATGCTTCTATGGCCACGCTTCCAGGTCATCATGGACTTGCACTGCGAGTCGGTTCGGAAACTAACGGCTAACTTGCCCACGGCACCGCCAACGTCGAAAGCCGAGCTGGCCAAGCAGTCTGCTGCGCCTTCTTCCATGGCACAACGTTTCGGGCAACTCATCCAAGGAATATTGGAGCTGAGCAAGGAAACTGGAGATGACGAACCTGTAAGCACAAGCTTGGCAAGGCTTCGAAGTGCTCTGGAAGCATTTTTAGCCCGAGTGGCGAAAACTATTGAAGGGGAAAGAAAACGCGAGAGGTTTTTAGAAAATAGCTTCTCTCTGATTTTGACAATTATTGGAGATGCACAGGGTAAGCTGGCTACTGAGCAAATATCTCAGATCCAGGCAATGATGACTACTGCATCGCAAGATACCAAATGAGAATATATTTTATTTTCCCATAACTGTGATATTTCACGTTCAAATATAGTTGAAGTGAGACAATTAAATTATTGTTAGTCGGCCTTCTACGGCTCTTTTTGTTTTTTTGGAATTCACCAGCTTACGGTGATTCGTACACAACAATAATGCGCAGATACGTTGAGTCTAGACAATTCAATCCTGAATAGCAGCGCCCGACGAGTACTAGACTGGGGTACTTGATGCCTGACCACAATGTGGAGGGGGTCATCGGCCCCGTTTATCTGTGGCAATGCCTCGGCGGCAACAAGAGCCAGTAACTCATCACGATGATGAGAATCACGAAACAGGTAAGTTATTAAAAGGTTTCGTTAGTCTACTATTTACGTTTGCTAGATCTACTTTTTGCTAAGCGCTTGGCAATAACTAGGTAGCTTACTCGAATCGCTTCTGGACGAGCTCTTCGTAGTAGATATCCGACTAAAATTATGAGTACTCGAGGAACTCGTCGAAAAAACTACTCGGGCAACACTAAGAACAAACATTGCAACGTCTATATTTGCTTTCCAACCCTTCTAGACCAATGTCGCCCCTGTCGAGTTTCACAATATGCGTGTCGGTTGGGGCGCACGCTGCATGGTGCATGAGGCTGGGTATAGGTCGGCGCCTACGAAGCGCCGAATGACTTCAATCGAGGACACACAAGGCTCAAGGCAACAACGATGATTGTACTTACTCAGAGCTTGCAGATGCCTGTAAAAATTTCCTGGAGAAATAAATATTTCTCCTAAATATGTCTCTCGAAAACCCGAATACTTACGACGACGCTGGCAGCAGATAACAATCGCTACTGGAAGGGACGGCTCCATTCGAATCGTCCACCTAGTAGGCTTCTTGTTTCTCCACAGGGCTCCAATTTTATGATAATAATGGATGCTGTTGGCGCTATTGGCAGTATTGTCCAGATACTGGATGCAACGGCCAAGTTGATCGATTATCTGAAAGATGTTCGCGCCGCAGAGAAGCAGATCTTAAGTTTCCAGGCCGAGATTGAAGTTATTCGCTACATTTTATGTGCTCTCAACACATCGGTCGACGAAAATCCGAAGATATTTCATGTAACATTAACAGTCATTGGTGCGGAAGACGGAATCCTTTACGAATTTAACTCGTTCCTCGTCAGCTTCAAAGGGAAATTAGTGGCGAAACCAGGAAGGAAATTATTATGGCCTTTCGACAAATCCCGCATAAAACAGGACCTTGAAAAGATACAAAGATACAAGACCATTCTTATTTGTGCTCTTCTAAATGATTCCATGTTCGTATGCCATTTCTTCTTCGAGCATGCCGGCTCATCAATCATTACATTGGCGCTTCTCATTTCTAGTCGCTGAAACCACACGATTATAAAAACGGGAACTAGCTGATATAAAACCTTATTTAGACTATTAACGAAGGAAATTAAAGACGGGGTCGACATAATTAAACACGGTGTTGAAGAGATTACCCACAGTGTTGATAGCATATCAACAGCACTCGAACAACAAAAAAAGCATGATGTTCTCGAGTGGCTATCTCCATCGCGGCGCATTGACTTTTCTCAACAACAAGCAGCACTTACAGCTAAAAGGGCCAAAAACACTGGACGATGGCTAATAGAGTCCGAGCCGTTCAGGCTGTGGCTAGATGGAAAACAAGACTCGATAATTCTGAAGGGCGGCGGCGGCATGGGCAAGACAATGCTGGCGAGCACGGCCATCGAGTATCTCACAAGACTCACTGCAATCAGGCCAGAGAGAAGTGCAGTAGCATATGTATTTGGAAACTGGGCTCACGCTGATAAATTTAACGCCCAAAACTTACTTGCGAGTCTGCTGAAACAGCTTCTTTCAGTGAAGGGTATCAAACTGCCAGAGACGTTAGAGGAGCTGCACTCCTCTAAAAACTATCCTACTTACTCTCAGCTATGTCGCCTGCTTCAATTGGAAGCTGGAAGATTCTCAAAGACTTTTATTGTTATCGATGCACTCAATGAACTTGACGAAGAGACTCAGGATAAGTTACTGAAGATTCTCAGTGAGTTGCAAACCAGCTTTGCAATAAAGTTGATGGTAACGTCTCGGGATCCGTATCGAATTTTGCAGTATATCGCATCGGCCACGCAGCTTGATACTCGAGCAACTAAAGAAGACCTTAACCTGTGGATGGACGAAAGTCTGAGAGCGTTACCACCTGGCTGTTTTGTTGCCAAGTCGCCGCTTGAAACCCACCAAAAAATTAAGGGCACACTAGCGCAGGCTGCCGACGGCATGTGAGTTTAATGCCACCTCTTGCGGGAAACTACAGACTGGGCATGGAAGCTTATCAATTCAATCAGGTTCCTTTTGGCAAAACTCAGTATGAGTGCTATTTCGAAGGTTTCGAACCGCAAAAAGCTTAATCAGGCTTTAGAGTCTATAGCAAGCGGTGGCTATTCGTTGGATGATGGATACAATGATACAATGAAACGCCTGAAGGCTCAATCCAGCGGAATGCTGACCGATTCGATCATATTACTATCTTTCGTAACCCATGCTTCTAGGGAACTCACAGTCTCAGAGCTAGAGCACGCACTAGCAATTGAAGTCAACGAGTCATCCTTCGACACAGACAATATTTCAGACTTGAGAGAAGCTATTGATTCATGTAGTGGACTTCTTGAGATTGACCCCGAGGATCAAAAGGTCATGCTGGTCCACCGTAAGTTTATCTCTCTGCAGTTGCCTATGTTATATGCTGACGATTAGAAGACACCGCCAAGGAGTATTTTGATCGTACAAAAGAAACGCATTTCCCTGATGCAAGCGCAATGATTACCGAGAGATGCCTCGCATATCTTTCTGACAGTAATCTAACGGATTCATGTCAATCTTATGAAAGCTACAATTTGAGAGTAGCGTCCTTCCCGTTTTTAGAGTACGCTGCACAAAATTGGGGATTTCATGCTTCCCAGGGAGAAGTTCAGAGGACTCTAAGTGCAAATATTTTAGCCTTTCTACGCAAGACATCTAATGTCGCGTGTTCTGCCCAGGCACTGCTTCAGTCTCCGGACCACTGGTGGTATGTTCATGGATCAATTGAGCCACAGATGTCCCAGGATATCTCAGGACTTCACATCTGTGCATGGTTTGGACTTCTTCTTACAGCAACTCAACTCATCGAAGAGGAAGTAGATGTGAATATTACCGACCATAATCAAAGGGGTCCCTTGTGGTATGCTGTTTACAACAGGAAGAAAGAAGCTGTCACATTGTTGCTGAAAAACGGGGCAGAAACTTCAACTGAAGGCCCTCTGTTGCCAGTTTTTGAAGAATGTGTCAGGAGCAGTGACCCAGAGATTGTCGAAATTCTGGGCGGCTTCCAGAATTACAGCGCTGATTGCTGCGGCGACATGTTGAAGCTAGCAGCCCAAAATCCTCACTGTGGTGCCGACATGGCGGAGCTGGTGCTCAATTCATACCCCAGCGTTCCAATAGAGGAAATATATGAAGGGTTCATACTATCAAGTGCGTCCAACCACTTGTGTGGCAAATCCATTTTAAGCATGCTCATCAACCGTGGGTGGAAGATTCCTGTTGATCTGAACATAATCAGGGTCTTATCAGAAAATATGTCATCCGGAGCAGATATTCTTAAATGTTTATTATCTCAGGGTGATATCGATCCCGATCCTTCTATTTTTGAGGTTGCGGCTTGTGGGTTGGCAAGCGATGTTATGGAAGCACTCCTGGATTATCAACCGGAATTTCAATTTAATGTGGATATACTCCCACTCACGGCGCGGGGTAATGAGGAGATGTTCCTCACGGTCCTCAGGCGCCATCCACATTTCGAAGTTACGCAACAAATGCTGGATAGGCTGGTTCAAAATACTGCTCTAGGATCGGCAGCAATGGAAGCGCTTCTCGAACATGCACCGCCAGGGACTCTGAAAATCGACGACGGTATCGTCATGTCCGCTCTTAAAGCTACATACAATGGATCTCATCTTATACCATGGCTTCTAAGCCACTATGAAAATCCCCAGGAAAAAATCTCGGAGAAGATATTGGTAGCGGCGGTGGGAGGCAACGATGCTATCAGAATTCTCAGTATTATCAAGTCATTCGAACCAACATTCAGGGTGACCTCTAGGATGCTCTTAGTTGCTGTATCAGGTCTCGGGACATATACTACATCAAGAAGCGAGGTGCTTCAGTGGCTATTGCAGCATGATCCAACTTGCAGGATTGACGAAGTTTCCATGGTTGAGTTCCTCAAGCCCGGTAACAGCATTTCATTTGACATGCTACTATCTTATCAGCCGCAACGGCTCACATGTCCCCTGGTTTTTGCCTGTGCCAGGTCCGTAGAGGCCTTGGAATTGCTCATACGCCAAGGAGAGGATATTTCCGATCCAGATATTATCGACGCCATGACAGAAGCTGTTCTGAGGACGGGTCGTGATGAGGACTGGATTTCCAAAATGCTAGGCCATATTCAAAAGCAACGCCTGCGCATTACATCCGCTTCATTAAAAGCTGCGGCTGCGAATAAGAACACGTCTGGTGCTATAAAGTGGGTCTTAGACTACGATTCCACTTTAGAAATACCTTCTGAACTCTTCGAAGAGGTAGCATGGACGCCTGCTAGTGCTCCAAAGTTGGAACTCTTAGAAAAGAGGAATAGAGGAGTTGAAATGACGGAACGATTGTTTATAGCATCAGCAAAGTCTAAGGATGTAAGAACTCTTCGATGGGCGCTAGACCGATCTGATGTTGTGCATATTACACCTCGAGCCCTGGAATATGCAGCAGGCGTGTATTCCTACAAAACGGACAATGTTACCCGTATGAAATTGATCACAACCAAGAACCCATCAATTACTATTACAGAGGAAACATTGAGGCGGACATGCCAGATTGCATCGAGGGATATTAAGCCCCTAGAATGGTTATTGGCCGAGTATCCTCAGCTGTCTCTCACAGAAATTCCAATGGCTGCTCTCCTTCGGGGCGGACAATCTTCAGCAGTTGTGAAGACCATCAAGGAGCACCTCCCGAAACTAAACATTACGCAGACCCTGTTGACTGCAGCTGCTAAAAATGAGTTTACGGAAAAGGCCTTGGAGTTGATATTAACTTTCGACATCGGGGGATTACTCTCGGAATCGATTCTTACAACTATAGCAGGATCCAAGCATGCGGCATCAAAATTTAAAGTTCTCCTCAGGCTGCATTCAGCCTCTGTGAGCGTATCAGATATTGTACTTCGAGCTGCGTCTGAGACTCCCCATGGATCAGGTGCACTGCAATGGCTGGTCTGGTTCTCAGAACCCAGAAAGCCGAACCATACGCCTGTTTTGCCGTATGACGCAATGGTATGGTATCTTAATCGAGATCCATCACCTACCATTACGCAGAAGATGCTTGTGGCAGTGGCACACCAACCGTGGGGTGGAGATGTGCTAGCCCTGCTTCTCAAGCGCAACCCATATTTATCATTTCCAAGGAGTTGATGGAAGCAGTTTGCTACAACTGGGAGTTTGGAGAACACCAATGCAGGCTCCTACTCAGCCACCATAAGCACACCAGGGTCTCGGAGGATATCCGCTCTGCGGTCTTGAAATGGGCGAGCGGTACGACGTCCAGTATATATAAACTTATCAGGGAGCATAACGACGACATTGATTTTCGGTAACCCCTGAAATACTGCCCGTGGATATCTGACACGCATCTCTCAACGATATTTTGGATACAATGGACTACGAACTGCTCATTTCACAGAGGGTGCCAGCGACCTGAGTCTCCATCGTCTCTATCCCAGCCAATTCACGAAACGAAACAAACCCTACGATCTGCTAATGATATATGATACGACATGATATGACAAATATTTACTGCTATTTATTCTCGATTTGTTCTCGATTTTTCACCGCGATTACCATCACTCCCTGCAACTATTTTGAGTTGGCCGTCACACTGTTTGGTGTGCTTGTAGCTAGTTTAGATGTATTTTTTGTAGTTTTATTGATAACGTAACGTATGGGGTAGTCGGACATATGGGGTAGTCGGACAAAAAGTTTATTCTACTCTAGTTGACCGAGTCCTACGTGCCACACACTCCTCCAATTCCAATTCTGGGTCGCTTGAATCGTTCTCTACCTCTTCCTCTTCAACTTCCTCGTCTACTTCTTCAATTGGCCGTTTGCGTGGCCTTCCACGTGGTCTTTTCTCGGTTGACTTCAACTCTGCCTCCCGGACAATTTTCAACACTTCCTCGGTACTGAATACAAATTCGCCTTGCAACTTAATTCTCTTGCCCGTAGTTCTTTTCTTTCGTGTCTCAAGTATCTCTTTGTACTCTTTCACCTCCTTCCGAAGGATGCTGAGTTCAGCATTCTGACTTTCAACCAGCCTAGTCATTCTCTTGGCATAGCGTCGAGTTGGTGAAGCAGGAGAGTCACAAGTTGCCATACTTGAATTAAATACTAAATTTGCATGCCTTAGTTCAGTTCCATCTGGAGGAGAACTTCGGAGTATTGAGAGATCCAGAGTAGTGATATTGGTTGAGTTTTGAGGAGTGCGAGGTGGTTCGGTTGGTGGAAGTGGAAGGTTAGCCAGAACTCTTTCTGGGAGAAAGGGTATTAAACCTGCTGCCCTCCACCCACTTCTAATATTTTGAGGTATAAGACCCTTCTATAGAATACACCGGAAGATTTCAACCCAGTGGGAGCGCTGGATTCGCTTTATTCCTGCTCGAGTATACCGATCTACTTCCTGAGCATGAAATCACTTAAGAGGTCCATACACCCCAATATCAAGTGGTTGGAGTAGATGAGAGCAATGAGGCGGTAGAATAAGAAGGTCGATGTCATTCTCAATGCACAGTGCAATCATATCGCCAGTAATGTGACTAGAATGGCCATCCATAATCAACATTCGCAGGTGATTTCCAGACTTTTTGCATGACTCAGGCTCAAATACATTCCGCAACCACTCAAATCTATGACTGTTTGAAGTCCAGCCACTATTACTTGTTGAGAAGTGCCACCGTCTGCATCAATGCATTCAAGTACAGTTATCCACTCCTGCTTCCCAGCTGTGACCTTCCAATTGGATTTCAAGGTAGAATCAACAATTATTCGCGTGGATTGAGTCTCTCCAACTGCAAAACCTGTCTCATCCATATTATAGATGTTGCATGGCTTGTACTTTCGCTCTTCAATTCGTGCTTTAAACGCGTCAAACCAAGCTGAAATCTTTATAGGAGTGGCTTCTTTATGTCGTGCAGACTCTAGTTGTCTTGAGTAGACCCCTTTAAAGTTTGGATGTCGTTTTAAGAATCTATAGATCCATTCATGGCCTATGGGGGTAGGATTGTGTCATACTGACATTCGTTGCACTCAGTTTGCTATCAAACTCAAGAGCAAACTTAGAAATCTCCTCCTCAAACCTACAAGTCACCATACATATCTTGGCTTATCACACCAACAACAGAAGCAATACTACTCAACGATTGCTGCAAACTCTTCTACTACATCTGTTTATGCTACATACATCACGGCATATCATTTGGACACTCATTGAACAAGTTATTAAGAAAATCTCCTCCTTAAGGGGGTGGGCCAATACTACCACATGGCATATCTCTACCAACTAGAGGCCTAGGAACATGAACGATAGCTCTAGAAGCTTCTACAACCCTCTATGATTCATTACACGTCATCGCTCCTTAGTTACCCACAAGATTGGTTAAGTTATGACATAATTTGTCTATAGGTACTCTGACCTTGGACCTCCTTTTCACTTCCTATAGGCTAGGAACCCAAGAGATGGTTCTATGGGATTCTCTTACGTTCACTACATGATTAGCAAGCTAGTTGTGGGTCGCACTTGATTTCTAATACATTTACCAAGCCTGGTTAGTCATGGAAAGTCATGGAAAATAAGAGAACTACACTCCTTTGGCATAAATAGGATTGCCCTTTCCTTAAGAAAGGGCAAGCAGGCAATACAGTAAATCGACTAGCACATACTTCCACGTCTTTTCCAAGCTTCCAAGCATTGATCTTGTTATTCTCTGTTTTTGAAAAGTCAGTGAGGTGCTAACCTCTGACTTACCCCTGAGTTCTCAGACTCAACATTTGTTGCAACTTGTCTAAACCACTTCACCACATCATACACCTGATTGCTGCGTTGTGGAATAGTCTAAGCTACAACCCTTTGGCTCTGTTTCCTAAGACAGTGTGTTGTCTTAGTAATTCATCCTTCCTTGGGTGGCTAGATTCTCATATCTGGTGCACCCACCATTACACCTTGCCTGCTTCAAGCTTCAACTATTTCTATAGCAGCACTTCGATACTACAATGGAGGACGACCAAGCTCCTACAACTACTGCTGAACAGCAGATGCAACAACTGTTTGCCTTTATACAAACTATAGCAAACAAACTTGAGAATTTGGAAAACACCTTTCAAGCCAACACTTCAGCAACACAATCTTCAACTCAGACACATCATACAGAGCTTCCCACAGCTCCTCTGGCTATTTCGAGTACCCCAGGTGCACTTCCTAAAGTGCAAACACCAGATTTATACCATGGAGACAGGAGGAAGTTGAAGGGATTCCTTATGCAACTGGACATCTACTTCACCCTCAGGCCTCATCAGTCACCTCAGACATTCAGAAGATCTATTTCGCTGCCAGCTACCTCCGTGGATCTGCATTCAACTTCTTTGAGCCATATCTTAGAAGACTTAGTGGCAACAACCAAAATACCACTACACCTTTGATTACCTCTTATGACCAGTTTCAAGAGGAACTTACCAGGACCTTTGGAGACATCAACGAAACTGCTACAGCAGAAAGAGAGCTACAGAAGCTATGTCAAAAGACCTCTGCTGCTCAGTATACAACAGAATTTAGGAGAATCACTTCTCACTTGACTTGGAATGAAGAAGCCTTAGTCTTCACTTACTACAAGGGCTCAAGAGCTCTATTAAGGATGAACTCAGCAAAGAAGAACGCCCTACAACACTTCAAACGCTTATAGAGAAAGCTGTCAGACTTGATGATAGGCTTTTTGAAAGAAGAAAGGAGAAGAACCAAGACTGGCATCCAACAAGAAATTTCAACAATTACACCTCTACACCAACTGCTAAGGACTCAGCACCTGAACCTATGGACTTAGACGCCTCTATAAGAGATCTACAGCAAATCCAGCACCTCAGCCTACAGGATACCCTCAAAACTGAAAAGGGGTAAACTTACCCTCAAGAAAGAAAACACAGAATGGACAACAACCTTTGTTTATACTGTGGCAAAGGGGGACACAGAATTCAGGGAGTGCTATTCAGCAGGGGGAGTGCTGATTCAAAACATATAGCAGCCTCAGACACAGTCACAACTGCTATTCCTGAAAAACTTGAAAATCCCTAGCAGGCACAACTCAACTGAGACTATAACTTCTCCCTAGACAACAAAGATGTGTCGATGGTGCTTTCTCAGAGTCTCACACACCTGTTAATCCCTATTCAACTCCATTTCAAACAACAGGTGTTGTCTACAAGGCTATGATAGACTCAGGGCAACAGGCAACTTTATATCTCAAGACCTCATCTTGACACACCAGTTACCTACAATTCCCAAACGCACTCCAGAGTTGCTCCGAGTCATTGATGGAACTCCTATCAGTTCAGGTTCCATTACCTGCAACACCCCAGTACTCAAACTTGAGATTCCCCTAGGAAAATCAACATTTTCAGACACCATCTCTTTAGATGTTATACCAATGAAGTACCCAGTCATCCTAGGTCTTCCATGGCTTCAAAGGCATGATCCAACTATCAATTGGAAGCATTTATCGCTGGGTTTAGCTCAAATCCTGAGCTCAATACTGGAAAAACCCTTCAAGCCTCAGTTACCCCTATTCAGGTCCAAGACTCAAACTTGTCCCAGATCAAGGATTTTGACCAAACTATGGACGATATATATCTCTGATATGGGTTAAACCTTTCCAACCTGTCCTGGAGATAGCAGCTACTTCAGATTTGGAGAAATCATCTCAGGAGGTCATTTTTGCCCTTTAGCATACCAAGATACCAACATCTTTTTGACAAGGCAAAGGCATCAATTCTGCCAAGCACCAGCCTTATGACCATGAGATACCACTCGCAGAAGGCTCAATGCCTCCCTACGGCCCTATCTACTCTCTATCTGAATTAGAGCTGAAAACTCTCAGAGAATACCTAGATGAGAACCTTAGTTCTGGCTTTATCAGAACTTCTTCCTCACCAGCAGGAGCTCCCATTCTC